CCTATTGGCAAGGTACAGGGAGCGGCGGATGAGCTCAGACACGGCTGACCCTCGGGGCCTTATTCAGACACCCGAATGTCCCAGAGGACGTTGTCGGTGTAACTATTTCAGTTATCTGAATGACTCAACCTGCGAAGTCATAAAGATGATTGAAATGACCAAGTGAGCAAATGACTCCAAGCTGGGAGGCCGCCCGGCAACGTGACTCGGGAGGCCCAGAGCTTGGTCCTACCTGGGACCAGGCCAGGCTACTTCCAGGCCCCTCCTGGCATCTGAGTCCTAGACCCAGAGGCTCCCACGTGGAGTGTGGACAGCCGACGCTGGCGCTGAATCGCTGTCCCTGCTGCTGTAACCCTTCCCCATTTAGCCGAGCTCTCCGCACGTCGCAGTCAGCGTGGGAGGCTCGTTGATAGAAGGGAATGATGATGATGCAGGAGGCCCTCAGCACATTGCTTAGTCACAGGTGTGTTATTCAGTCCATAAAAGCCTACGGAGGACCCCCATGTGCCAGGCACTGAGCTACGTGTTTCACTCTGTGGGAAGAGTCTCACGTAATATAGTGGAGATAGATGTTAGGTAATTAGGCCAAGAATTCAGTATGACTGTGAGGGTGCTTCCAAAGAGACGCTCTCGAGCCTGGCCTGCATGGCTCAGTGGAGCATCGACCCACGAAGCCAGTCCGATTCCCAGTCAGGGCATATGCCGGGTTGCGATGCCCGGTAGGGGACGTGTGGGAGGCAGCTGATCAATGATTCTCTCTCATCATTGACACTTCTATCTGTCTCTCCCTCTCCCTTCCTCTCTCTGAAGTCAATTTAAAAACACACACATATTTTTACCCTAGCTGGTTTTGCTCAGTGGTTAGAGTGTAGACCTGAGGATGGAAGGGTCATGGGTTCAATTCCTGTCAAAGGCACGTACCTCGGTTGCAGGCTCGATCTTTGGTCAGGGCGTGTGTGGAAAGTAACCAATTGATGTTTCTCTCTCTGTGTCTCTCCCCCTCCCTTCCACACTCTCTAAAAGTCAATGGGAAAAATATCCTTGGGTGAGGATTTTCAAAACAAAACAAAACAAAACAAAAAGGGGTCGGGGAGGACCTCGTTGAACGGTGGCACTTACGCCAAGACCTGAGCAAGGAAGATGAGGAAGGTGGGGTAGATTGGCAGAAAGAAAGAGGAACACTTGGGAGCCGGCAGGCGGAGCAGCTCAGGCCCAGTAAACAGGAGGAACTGGCACAAAGTGAGGCTTGGGTCCTGGGGCCGCGCTGGCAGGTCACGCTCAATTCTAAAGTCAGTGGAAGCCACTGTCCGGATGCCACCTTCACGGGCGTGATTCAGAGAAAACAGCAGGCGGGAGCGGAGCCAAAGCAAGCAGAGGAGGTTTTGTTTTTGTTTTTGTTTTAGTTTTTTTTCAGAGTTGGTTTTTGTGTGGTCAGTGAGGGTGGCAGAGACAATTCCTCCATCCTAGGCCATAGGACTGCAGAGCTCAGCCACGCGTGGGTGTAGGTGTGGGTGTGGGTGTGGGTGTGGGAGCCAAGAATGACTGGTGTTTCTGGGGGTAGCAGGAGCCATTTGCCAAGGCAGGAAAAACAGGAAGAGGGATTGGGGTGCAGGGAGGTCGGTTCAGCCACGTGTGATGTGCCTGTGAGGCCCCAGATGTCCACCAGGCGCTGAGACCTGGGCAGTTCCCAGGGGCGATCCCCACGATGTTCCACGAAGCTGGACACCGACCTCATCCCGGTTCTGCACTTGGTCAGCCCTGTGAACTCCAACAAGCCACTGACTGTCTCCAGCGTTGATTTCCCAGACGAGGAAGGGGTGACAACCATCCCTAAGAGATGACCTGGGAGATACAGTGAGGCAGCCAGTGTGAGGAGCAGGGCGCTCGCCAGCAGGCACTGGGAAAGCGCCCAGGGAGTTAGTGGCAGAGCGTCGTGGTGAGTTCCACTGAGCCAACCCAGAGATGCCCACGGTCCGTGTGCCTCTGGGAAATAAAAATGCCACCAGCCGATCAAGCTACCCACCAGGCCATGATGCCATCGGTCACTACGTTCCTCTTATTTCAGAGATGTGAGACGTAACAACTCTCAGATTTCGGATGGAGCACTGCATTGAGCAGGGCTTTCCCCTGATGCCCCAGCATCAGCCACAGGGACCAGCTCCCCCCTCCACCCCTAATCCATCCCTATGGCTCCTGGGCCAGGTCTCTTTCAGGCTGCCTTTGTAGAGCATCAGCCACAGGGACCAGCTCCCCCCTCCATCACCCCCCCTCCATCCCTGTGGCTCCTGGGCCAGGTCTCTTTCAGGCTGCCTTTGTAAGATTGACAGAGATGCATTGAGGGCTGTGGAGGAAGCCCCTGAAACGCTTTGGCCTGGAGCACTGAGTCCCTGGTGTTGGCTGCTGTTCTCAGGTCAAAGGAATCTCCGGTAACCTGGTGCAGCCCTTGGTGAGGGACCTAACCCTATGGGAGAGAGGCCGTCCCTGCCGACCACCTGGGGTTCAGGGAAAGTGAGCAATGTGGCGATGATGCCAGGGCCACAGACAGGTGAGGTGTGATGCCAACCTTCTCAAATAGGGCAGGAGGCACCAAAGGCTGAAACAGCACGGAACTCGGCTGCTCCTCGGTCTTCCTAATCCCTGACGCTGGTCCAGGACCTTCAGTGGCCAAGCACTGGGGGGGGAGGGGGGGGCTTTCCAGTTTCAAGGACACAGCCAGGCACCACCCCGGGTGGGCTGGCCCCTCCTGCCGGTTCTCAGTGAGCATCAGGCCTCTGGGCCTCGTTGGTGCTGGTGGGCGGCCGTGTCCCCTGGGATGTCTATGCAGCGGTTACTCCCAGGCCGTGCCGGCTCGCACCACGTCGTGGCTTAGGAGTGGGTTCAGATATTGATCTGTTTTAGGAGCCTAATCCACTGCTTTCGTTCTCCAAATCCCCAGTTGTCTGAGGTTGAGAAAGATCTCAGTCTATCCCGGTGGTGCTCAAACTGGGATCCCTGGCCGGCAGCATCGGCCACGCAGGGAACTTGTTTGAAATGCAAGTTCTTGGCCCCTCAGAGACAGACTGAGTCGGAACTGTGGTGGGGCCGCCCAGCGCTCTGGGTTTTAAGGAGTCCTCTCAGTGCTCTGATGTCTTTGAGGGCCCAAGACACCCGACACTTTCTGTGTGAATTCACTGCATGGAGGTGAATTTGAGGTTACCGGGGAAGCTAAGGAGGCAGAACTCCAAGGTTATGTTTGCCTTGAAATTCTGTGTATTGAGATCCATCCCCCAGCATTGGGTGATCCTGTGGGCTCACCCAGTGGGTGGGGTCAGATTCATCCCTGTCCGTGAGGTGGGCCGCCGAAGGGGAGGGCTGCTGGTGCTCCCCCATCACAGTGGCACGTAAGTGATCAGAACAGCTTTTTAAAAGGACATTTGCATGTGGCTTCTAAAGATAGAACTCTCTTTTTTTGGAAAAATGCATGGAAGTACAAAAACAAAAATACGTAAGTGTATTTCCTTCCCATCTGTCTTCAGTCTCTGTGTGTCCACACCATTTTTTTAAAAACACAGTTGGGCCAAAGTCCACATACAGCTTTGCAGCTTGCACTTCCAACTTTACATCACAAGCACTTTCCTGCACCAGATTATTTTCCTGTAAATATGCATGTTATTTAAGCAGCCTGGGTTAGACAGGTTGGGCATTTCCAATTATGTTTATATTCTAAATAGCCGTGAAGACTTTCCATGCACTACAGAATCTTTGCTCTACTTCTTGGTCATGTCCTTGGAGCCCTTGGTGAGGGACCTAACCCTATGGGGCCGGGTCATGGTGAGGCTACAATTCTGGGTGCAACTTGACAAAATACCGTCCGAAGAGGCTGGAGGTGGTTCTCCCCACCAGGAAGGACAGACACTCTGGCTCTGACAGGGCAGCTGGCAGGTGCACCCCTGGGTGCCAGCCGCTCAAGAGAGAGCTGCTCAGCCCGGATGCTGAGAAACCTTGTCATAGATCAGAGACCCCTCCCCCAAGAGAGCTGAGGTCCCCGCCTGCAGTGGCTTGGCTGAGATGAAGGAATCCGGCAGCCTTGCTGAGAAGGGTCTCACAGGCATAGAACGGCGTGCTGATGGCTCGGGCCTCCCTCTGCCTGAGCGTTTCTCTGGGAGCATTTTCAAAGGGGTTCCGGAAGGCAGGTCCCAGCGGTGCCCCAGCCCTCTTGCCACTCCATAGCAGAGCCCTCTCCCGCCTGCTTTGGGGTTCACCACCCACGGCCCAGGTGTTCTGCCCCAGTGACCCCCCACCCCGAAGCTGAGTCCCCTCATACCCAGGGCTGGGGTCTCGCTGATTGCTCTCAGAGGCTCAGTTTGTGATTGAGTCAGGACATAGCTGTGATGTTAACCTCATCTCTCATACTTAAAGTGAGAGATATGCACAGACCCACACATAGAATATAAGTTCTTTATGCTTGCTTTCGCCCCATTTATTCCAGGTATGATATTGTCCATTATAAAAACATTAAATACCTTTCACATGCAAAGTCGTTTTCAAAACGGCTTTCACAGAACTATTTAATGTCAACCAGCCAGAGCCCTTAGGAGGGTATTAGGTCAGAAATGATTGCTCTTTCACAGAAAAGGGAACAGCCACCCAGGGAGGTGATGGGCGTCCCTGATATCCCTGAGTTATGGGCGGAGATGCACTAGACTTCAAGTCTCTTGCCTCCCATTCTTCTGTTCTTCCTCCTGGAATCCTTGGGTATTTAAAATAAGATTGTGGTCCAGCTGGTGTGGCTCAGTGGTTGAGTGTCAACCTATGAACCAGGAGGTCACGGTTTGATTCCCAGTCAGGGCTCAATCTCCAGTGTGGGGACATGCAGGAGGCAGCCAATCAATAATTCTCTCTCATCATTGATGTTTCTATCTCTCTCTCCCTCTCCGTTCCTCTCTGAAATCAATAAAAATATATATATTTGAAAAATTTTAATAAAAAAAGAAATGTTCTATAGGGTCACCTCAGAAAAAATGATAATATCTGAGGTGATTGTGTGTGTTTTTCCCTACAGCTCCAAGAGTGTCAAGATTTGCAGTAGTAAGACACCTGTTGATGTCCAAGCCCTGAAGAAGAAGGTCAGCAAGGCGACCTGCGACTCCGCTGTCCGTGCCATCCTCAGAAGCCTGCTGCTCTACATCACCCACCGTGAGGACGGGCCCCAGGGGCTGCCTCCCACCAAGAGGACAGAGAGCAGAGACAGCCAGGGGAGCCGGAAGCCCGAGCCCCAAGACGCCAACCGGCGGCCCACGCGTTTCCAGCTCCTGCAGGCCAAGTTCATGGGCACTGGCCGGGAGACCTGGCTCAAGAAGACCCAGGAGGTGGGAAGGCTGATCTTCAAGGACAAGCAAGGCCCAGGCAGGAGCGTGGTGACCACCACCATCAACAAGCTCCTGGAGAAGACCAGGGAGGGGGCCGGCGGTTCCGCGGGCGGCCAGGAGCCCCTCGGCGGTGATAAGCCCCGGGGGGGCCTGCCTGCCGGGAGAAACACCGTGAAAAACATTCTGAAGAAGTTCCTGGCCGCAGAGGAGAAGGAGGCCGAGGAGAAGAGGCAGCGTGAGAAGCCTCCTGTGCAGCCGTCCAAAGCCGCCAGGGGCCTCCTGCCGAAGATCGTGGGCAAGAAGGGCTCGGTCCTCGCCAAGCTGCGGGAGAAGTTCGAGCAGAGCGGGTGTCTGTGCTCAGAGGCCAGCGTGCTGCCGCTCCACACGGAGGAGCGAAAGAAGAAGAACCTGCAGCGGAAGAAGATGCACCGGCCCGAGGCCCGCGTGCTCTGCACAGCCACCTTGGCCAGCTCCTGCATCAGGATGCCCCCTGCCCGCTTTCTGGCCTGCTCGGCGGAGCCCATGCCAGCCTTCAGCATCGCCACCATCGTCGGCGGCCCCCGGAGCTGGCTGTCCCACTGCGCCAAGATCAGACACTCGGACCTGAGGCGCATGCCCCCAAAAGAAACCGGCAGGCCCCCCAACGCGGGGGAGATGGTGCCTGATGGGAACCAAACACCAGGAAAGGGGCTGCTGGATGGGGGGCCCCCCCAGACCTTGGTAGCGCAGGCCGTGGCTCCCACCCTGACAGCAGCCTCCCTGAGTGCAGGGCCTGAATGCCTCCCTGAGCCAGCCCCCGCGCCTGCCTCCCAGAGCCGGGAAGCCGCTCCTGGCCTGGAACCCAAGTTCTCCTCGCTCACACCAGCCAGCCCAGCGCACACCAGGGTGTTGGGAGGTGACAGGATGGAGGGCCCCCCAGCAGGGATCACCTCAGATGATTCCCAGGGGGCGGAGGGACCAAGGGCAGGCCCCCGCCCCAGGCCCCCAGATGAGGGAGCAGAGGAGGCCCCGCAGGTGGACCTCATGGTTTGCAGTTCGGAGGATGAAACGGAAAGAGTGATTTCCGACTCAGAGCAAGACCCTCTCTTTGCCGTCCAGGAGAATTTTCCAGAACAGCCAGTCCCGGGACAGATCCCACCGCTCAGCGTGCCAGCCGCCCAGGCTGCCCGGCGCACCCAGCTGGCCTGCGAGCCTCCGCAGATAACCGTCAGACTCCCGGTGGTCCATGAGATGCCACTCCCTCCCGCCGCGCTGCAGGGGGCAGCGGGTCATGCAGACCCGCCGTCTCCTGTGTGGGGAGGAGAGAGCGAGGTTGAACATGCACCCGCGCCATTTTCCACTACGACGGGGAGTGAAAGCACCAAGGTGGCCCCGATGGGAGCGAGCCAGCCTGCAGGGACGCCCAGGGGACTCAGCACCCCTTCTCAGCAGGACTCCCAGGCAGACCTGGCTCTCACACCCCTAAGGGGTGCTGCCAGCATTGATGGTGACACCCCAGAGGCAGCTCCGACAAGTCCCCCTGGCGGAAAGGAAGACCAACGCAGCTGTGGGAATTCCAACAAACTCAAGGATCAGGAGCGTATTTCAGGACAGGATGTGTCTGAGCTCAGGTCTGAGCAGCACCCGTTGCCAGAATCAGAGGGAATGCCGGTCCGTGACGAGGGCGCCCCAGCACGTTACTCCACAGCTTCGGAAAATCGCCCCACGGGAAACAGCCGCTCTGCACTGTGTGGTCAGCAAGCGCCATCTCCCAATGAGGGAGACTCGACGGGCGCCCCAACACTGCTGGCGGCACCGGCCGAGGACTGGGAGAGGTCTGAGCATGTGACCGCAGTGGGTCAGAACATCCTGTGTGAGCGAGCAGAACGCAGGGGGCCACCATCAACTGAGTCCACTCAGCCCCTGCTGATGGCTGAAGGGGGTGCCAGCCAGGACGTTGGTGAGACCAGACCGGCCTCCTTAAATGAAGGCCCCCAACCAAGTATCAAAGCCCCTGGACGAGGGGCAGCCACAGGGGTCACCAAGAGCCACACAGCACCAGCACCAGGGAACACTGTGGACCCCGAAATCAGTTCTCCTGAACAGGGGAGCCCTTTGCACAAGAGAGAATCTGGCTCCTCACCAACAGGTCACAGTCTTGTCGCAGAGGGTCTGGGCCATGCACCCAACAGCCACCTCTTCCTGGCACCAGGAGGGCCCTCGAAGCCCCCCAGTGGCAGAGCGGCAGAGGGCCACGGCTGCGGAGACTCGGGGCAGCGCCTGCCGGCGACCTCGGAATCACTGACCGCGCTCCCACAGGAGGCCGCGGGCCCCCCACTCACGCCTGCCGACCCCGGCTTGGGGGTTTCAAATGAACCGGCAGCCAACAAAGCGAATGCCGCAGCAGGAAGCAGAAATACCGCGGCTGCCCAAGCAGGTCCTCGGGGGAATAATACGAAGTCCCCGGTTGCACCCTCACATCACCCCACACCGCAGGGAGGCGGCGTACAGGGGCCTCCGCGCCACGGTTTGGACAAGCCCCCAGCGTCTCCTGAGGAGCAGCGGGCCAGGGAGGAGAAGCATGTCGTGTCGGAAAAGCAGCTTCCTCTCGCTGCTGGGGTTTCCCATCAGTTGCCCCCAGTGCCATCTACAGGAGCAGAAGGGGCCCCCCAGACGTGTCCCGGCCTCCAGGCACACCTGCTGCCTGCATCCCGCACACAAGCTGGTGTCCTGCTGGCCATGGAGGTCAGAGAGAGGCCAGGGTCACAGGCAGTCCTGGGGGGTGGAGAGGAGCAAGTCTCAGGGCCTGTGGGGCCGAAGAGTCCTGGTCAGAAGGGAGTCGCTCCTTTGTTCCCATGGAAAATCAAGCTTGGAGAGAGGCCAGGGTCACAGGCAGGCCTGGGGGGTGGAGAGGAGAGGGTCTCAGGGCCTGTGGGGCCAAAGAGTCCTGGTCAGAAGGGAGTCCCTCCTTCAAGCCAGGAGACCCCCTCGTGTGGCTCTGAAGAGGCGCAGACACAGCCCCAGGATGACGTGGTGGGGAGTGACAGGGCAACCGCTGGTGGGGAGACTCCTTGCCGACACGCTGAGAAGGGACCAGAGCGCCCCCCAGGGCAGTGGGTGCAGTCTGTAGAGGACCCCTCAGGGCAGCATGGTGTCCACACTGAAGAACGACAGGGGCGCGGGGCACAGGCCCAGGCCGGCAGGATGGCACCCCACCACTTGGTGCAGCCCACAGGCAATTCCTTGGCTGTGGCACCTACACCTACCCCAGGTGCCAGTGGGCAGTCCCAGAGACCAGCCCCCACGGGTGGCGAGGGGCCACCTGGAGTGCCACAGAAGGCGGGAGAACACTGTCTGCAGGTGGCCAAGAGCCAGACGTCCGTCCATCCTGAGCCAGCGCAAAGCTCTCCAGTGCCCACGCCCAAGCCTGGGGGCTGCCCGACGCCCAGTGCCCCAGCCCAGGAGGGGCCCCCAGACATCTCCAGGGCAGGAAGAAGCACACTGGACCGCGAACATCAGAGAAAGTCAGCACACTTTGCAAAGTACAAAGCCCAAAGCTTCTGCGACCAGAGGTCCTTTGATTTGTCCTTTCGAGCCAAAGTTATCAGGGCCAATGACACGTTCGAACTTCCAAAGTGAAGCCCCCGGCGTCGGGACCACTGGCACGTCTGATGCCTCCGTTTCTGCTCCTCACTCAGGTTGCAGGCTGTTTTCCTGCCTCCAAAGGCCCCCTGGACCAGTGGTTTCCTTTCACTCTCACAGTAGCTGACCCCACGACTACGGACGTGTTGCCTGCACGTGTTGTGGAGCCTGCTCCGTGTTCTCAGTGCACATGGCTTCCCGGGAGCTGTGCACAGCGAGGATGAGGCAGGTGCCAGGCACACCAGGCCTTTGCCCCCCGTGGATCTGTTCCTTATTTCACTTGTGGCATCTCTACTTGGAGTTTGTCCAAGCACACACGTCTACCTTTTCACAGAGCTGTGCTGCTTTGGGCACTTTAAGGTTTGGTGCTGAACTTGGCATGTGTCTGTCCTGGCTGCTCCGGAGGGGGTGGGGGGGGCCTCCACTGAGGGCCCGTGACTCCAACACAGACACCAGTCCTGACACGTTCTGGAATAAGGGCTAACGTCTCCTTGCGGTTCATCCGCAGGCATGGATGTGGCAGGCCTCAGACTGTGGCCCCTGCAGGGGAGTCGCACGCTGAGTGCCTCCACTGAGGGCCCGTGACTCCAACGCAGACACCAGTCCTGACACGTTCTGGAATAAGGGCTAAGAGCTCCGGTTTGTCGCAGCTTCTCCCGGGGGAAGATAATCTATCTTTACCTTCTTGATGACGGTCAGGAAGGTGGAGTGAGGACATTGGGATCCGGGCTCTGGCACACCCTGTTCCTGCACCTGGGCCCAGCTGGGCCGGAGCAGAACAGATCACGGGAAATACTCGAGTCAGTTTCAGAGGAAGGTGAGGCTGCAGAGTGATCGGAAGGTCGTTCTCAGCACCGTGTTTGCAGGTGCACGAGTCCAAGGAAGCTTTTGTTTAGAAACTGCTGTGGTGAGGAAAACGCAATGTCACACCGTCTTTCTCAGTCATCACAGCAGCCTCCGGGGTCTCCACGTCCTGCTGGGACGCTGGATGGCACTGCTGGCCAATGACGGGGCCGCAATGCTCTCTCGCCCCACGCTGCTCTCCTGAAAAGCACAGGGGCGTTTCCTACCCCTGCCCGCGACGTTATATTATTTTAATTTACCCACTAAGACAATGCCTTTTCAGTCTACAATATTTGAACATTGTATAACAGTATAAGGAAGGAAATAAAAATCACCCATAACCACATAACCTTAGATGATTTTTGTTACTACCTTGGACTGTTTTTTCTCCAGACTTTTCCCTCGGCTATTTTTTTCTATAACACAGGCGCCCGAGGAGCCACATCCTGTGTCCAGTATTAAGATTTAATGTTACAGGGCACGCACTTTCAGGGGCCGCGGAGTGGTCTTTGAACCCTAACGCGTGTGCGTCTCAGGTTCTGTGGACACACGTGGGCCCCGGGTTTTCAGCAGAAGCAGACGCTGTGAGCCCTCACTGCCCAGCACACGCTTGTTGGTGCTATTCTCTTGCAGAAGATGGATTTCTGTGTTTTGAAGACTTCTTGATGTTTGCTGCCGGATTTCTGTGTTTTGAAGACATCTTTATGTTTGCTGCCGGATTTCTGTGTTTTGAAGACTTCTTGATGTTTGCTGCCTTTGCCGCTGAGCGATGTTCTAGACTTTCCTTCCCGGAGAAGCTTCCTTCATGTGTGCTGCAATCTCCTTTATTCTCCGACTTGAATGTTCATTTACAGGAGGGTTTCTTATTTTATTTTTTTGTTGTTGTTGTTGTCAATCTTCACCTGAGGATATTTTTTCCATTGATTTTTAGAGAGATTGGAAGGGAGGGAAGGATAAAGGGAGGGAGGGAGGGGGAGAAAGAGAGAGAGAGGAGACATCGATTGGTTGCCTCCCCCGTGCACCCAGACTGGGGCTGGGGATTAAACCTGCAACCCAGTATGTGCCCTTGACCCGGGTTTGAATCTGAGACCCTTCGGTGGGCTGGCCGATGCTCTAACCACTGAGCACACTGGCCAGGGCAAGAAGGGCTTTTTTTATTTAAGCTTTGGTTGGGTACTTAGGAAGAGGTGGGTTTGTCAGTTTTCACCCTGTCCATGGTGAGGTCCAGGTCACTGTGGTGTCTCCTCTCAGGACAGGTCAGCCAGATGTGACGGACATGCATGGTGGCCAAAGCGGCACTGGGCTCGGTGAGGCTAGGCAGGAAGCGTGAGGTCTGCACACCCAGCTGGGCTTTGTCCAGGGGCGGGGCTCATTTCCTGGCACCCTCCTCTCTCCAATCAGGCAATTAACTTAAAATCAGGCCGATTAGAGACTCCCAACTGCAGTGTCAGGTGAGCCTGAGAGCCCCACGGGAGCTGAAGGCGGACTAAGGTGCTGGTCTTCCTCGGTCACCCCTCAGAGGGCTCCGCTCCGTGAAGCAGGGGCAGTGCCCCGGGTTCAACCAGGAGGGTGTGTGCCTGGTTTGCTCGCTGTAGCAGCAGGAGGCGGTGTGAGTGACAGTCACCTACATGGGTGGCGCTGCCCCGTGTCTAGTGTCTGGGCATCTGGATGAGGATCCCCACCTCTGGGTGGGGGAGCCTTGGGGAGACCCCTCCCTCACTGCCTTTTGCTTCCCTTGGAGCTGAGGGCGGGCCATGCACAGGACCGAGGCCCTGGCTCTGGTGCCATTCCACCTCCACCGGGCAGTCGGGGTGCCCATTGTCTCAAAGAGCACAGGCTACGGAGATCCAAGGTGTCCCTGCCCCAGAGGAAGGCTGCATCAAGACTGGGGTTCAGCTTCTCAGAGCTGCAAATCCAGAAGGCTCAGGAGACAAATACATACTCAGGGTCCCAGCAGAGGCCCACAGATGCTGGGCTTTTGTCAGTCCCATCGCCCACACCTGCTCACACCCAGGGGCGTCTTTGCTAGAGCTGGGAAGCTGACTTCCTGCTAACGTACCTCGGGGGGGCACCATCTTATTTGTTTTCTTTCTTTATTTGTCCTCTGTTTCACAAAGGAATTAAAGCAATGTTTGGCAAAGAACTTGATGACCGACAGAGGAGATAAAAATATTATATTTACTGGGTGTTCCCTTTTTAAAATAAGAAGCAGTGGAGTTTCAACACTATTTTTAAATAGGCCAGAAAGCCCGTTGGAGAATGAACTGAGCGGTATCATTTTAAGTGGTGGGGAAAAAATGATCAGAATCTCCTCCGGACGGCGGCTTCTGAGAAGTCGTACACGGAGTTCCAGTGGACACCTGGCAGGCGCAGGGCGCGTCTCCGACCCGGCCAGCAGGAGGGCCCTGGCTCTGGTTTCACCAAACACGGTTCAGGTTAGGCTGCCCTCCACGCCGCTGCTGGAGCCGCTCCGTGGGAAAGAATCAAGAGTGACTTTTCATCAGGACTTACTAGTGGTCAGTGTGCATTCACAATACACTTGAAGCAAGAGTTTACAGTGCAGACGTGGCAGCCGTTTCTGCCAAAGAAAGACCCAGGAGGCCTCCTGGGTTGAAATGATTATTGCAGGAGGGTGGTGGGCATCTTAAATGAAACCCACAGTAAACATTTGTGAGCTTTTTAGCTGACCCACTTGATTTTGCACATCTGAGTAGCTTATCAAGTTACACCTCACTTCAGATTTTTACAGCTCCTTCTACTGTTTACAGACTCATCTGTGAGCCACGCCTGTGGTATGTACCTGCAGGGGAGGGGTGGCTCCCGGAGGAAACTCCTATGGTGAAGAATCACGTGTATTTTATTTTTTTAAATATATTTTATTGATTTTTTACAGAGAGGAAGAGAGAGAGATAGAGAGTTAGAAACATCGATGAGAGAGAAACATCGGTCAGCTGCCTCCTGCACACTCCCTACTGGGGATGTGCCCACAACCCAGGTACATGCCCTTGACCGGAATCGAACCTGGGATCTTTCAGTCCGCAGGCCGACCCTCTATCCACTGAGCCAAACCGCTTTCGGCGAATCACGTGTATTTTAGACGCTCCGTCAGGAAAGTCACTGTTTAGAATTTTATGAATTCAGCACCCCTTCCTTATTTTTTTTTTTTTTAACAAGGGGCATCTTTGCCGTTTGAGTTACAATCTTTTAATTATTGGCTTATGTATTAACCCACAGCTCAACGTTCTTTGTTTTATTCTCCTTTGTATACAAACTCTAAAATGGATTCATTAGGGAAAAAAATACCAAATATATTTTGTTGTATTCTCTTTTGACTTTTTACTAACTTTATCCAGCTTGAAATAATATGAATAAAATAAAATAAAATATATCACCCATTCCAGATCTCTTCCTGGCCCCTTTGAGGGACTGCCTGAGGAGGTAGGGGTTTCATGTCAGAAAGCAGCTGTGGGGCCAGAGGCAAGCGCTGGAGTGCTGACCACAGTGTGGGGAGATTCGGTCAGCAAAGGAGAGGAGCGGCTCCTCCATCCTCCAATCCGGGAGGCCCCGGGCTTGGGAGGAGAATCCCTCGGGGCATGCTTAGTAAAAACAAGCAGGGCTTCCAGGACACCGCCTAGGGCCTAGGGCCTAGGGCCAGGAGAGAATAAATAAGGCTGCTCCCCAGGCCAGGCCCCGTGGAGGCGGAGCTCGGGTGCCAGCCAAGCCGCCCCAGGGAGACGCCAGGACAGACTGCACAGAAGAGGAGCGTGGGAGGCCAGGGGACAGGGTACACTAATTCCAACTCCACTTCCCTCCAGGACCTTCAGAAAAACTGCTGTGCCCTGGGCGGGGCCTGCGAGTTCTTAGCATCGTGGGAGAGGAAGAGCTCCTTCACCCACAGTGGGGAGCATGAAGGCTGTCCAACCTGGTCGGGGGTTCCCATCACCCCCTCCTCAGGGTGAGCCTGTGCCCCTGTCCTCCCCAGGGCGGCTTGGCCCAGGGGGCGCTGAGCGCTGCTCCTGGAAGAGGGTTTAGGAAGACCAAGGTCCTAAAATGTTCCTTAGCATCAGGAGCTCCCTGAGGTGAGATCACCCAGTCCCCTCTCCTCCTGCCCGGGAGGATTTCGGATAAGGACCTGCAAAAGGCCCACAGCTAAC